GTTCTTGCATGCACTCAAAGGTTCTTGCTTGCACTCAAAGGTTCTTGCATGCACTCAAAGGTTCTTGCATGCACTCAAAGGTTCTTTCATGCACTCAAAGGTTCTTGCGTGCACTCAAAGGTTCTTGCATGCACTCAAAGGTTTTTTCATGCACTCAAAGTTTCTTGCGTGCACTCAAAGGTTCTTGCATGCACTCAAAGGTTCTAGCAAGCACTCAAAGGTTCTTGCGTGCACTCAAAGGTTCTTGCGTACACTCAAAGGTTCTTACATGCACTCAAAGGTTCTTTCATGCACTCAAAGGTTCTTTCATGCACTCAAAGCTTCTTTCATGCACTCAAAGGTTCTTGAATGCATTCAAAGGCTCTTATACATAGACTTCATGGAATAAATTCATTGTACATGAACTGGAGGCTCAGAGCTCACTTTCCAAAATAATGCTCGTCTAGAATTCATTCATTTGTGTTCACACTCGTCATACCTACCTGATCATGGGAAACTCTGTACTATGTACGTTGTTAATTTCATTAATAATTAAATAAGATAAATATGAAGAAATTTTTCACAGTGTGGTAAAAATAAAGTCTCGCCGGCGCTTGGTTGTTCCTCAGTAGGTCTTGTCGATTTAATTTTTTCCGCTGCATTATTTTAAGTTATATTATCCAAGAGACCAACCTTGACTTTTAGTTGAAACTTTAGAGCTTAAGCATAGTAAGTAATGACTTAGCATGAGGGTGTTCATACCTTGTGCCCAGCATTGGCTGGAGGAGGTCGTCGTTGCTCTTGTATTCATCATCGGCAGGGTTCTGCAGCTCAAGATAGACGCGCCCATCGCGACGCTGCACAAGTTCTGCCCACCGCCTCTTGCTTAGGTCGTCAGGTTTGATCTTCACCTCCAGGAGGTAAGGTTGTGCGTATGGCAACATGGCTGCGACCAGCGCTACATCGCGTCCTGCGGCCATTAACATGATTTGAACTTTTAATTTTGTACGCTGTAAGAATACTAAGAAGTTTCCGAGCGTTTACTCCTCACTGAAAATGCAGTTTCGTCTGCGCAATCACGGTTTAGGCGAAAAAAATTCATTGGACTCCAGATTTTCCTTTCGATTTCTAGGTGTTGCTGAAGATGGTAAAATATGCTATCAATGATTGTTACAATTATCAGTTTGAATATCTTCCAATCAAATTACAAAACTTGCGTATTCCATTAACCGTCTCATTAGGTACAAAGTTCACCAACCTGTTTCGACACGCCACGTCTTGTTTTCTTTGAGTTTGGTCAGAGCGGCAGGCTTGGCCAGCTGCTCAACGTCAGGGCAGATGCGGAGACACTCCTCCCAGTCATCGGCAGAGACGACGCCGGCGTCACGCAGCGCCTGCTCCAGCTCTGGCCAGCGTCTCTCCAAGAGGCCGGGCCTGAGGCGGCTGAGGCCCTGCACCGCGTACTGCAGTACTTCGCGCAGGCTGGGACAAAAGCGTTCATGTAAAGGCTTTTAAAAGTGGGTATCGCAAAGGGTTAAATTTCCTGTGACATTTTTTGTATTTTGTTATAAGATTTGAGTTTATTAGTGAGTCATGTACAGCCGCAACTGTTGACAGCTCTCGAAGACGCTTGTTAACTGTTGAGTTATTATAATCACAAGATCTACTTATATTATTATAAGAATAAAACTCAAGCGTATTGATGCAGGGTAGGTGAATGATTGAAAATGTGATTTATTTAATGTAAACGTATACACTAGTTTAAAAAAATTGATTTGATGAAGGTGAGGAGGAAATAAATATATGAATAAATGCTGTCACTATTTCCACTTGCTCTTGTTAATCTGTTGTGTTAAATTCCAAAAAAATAGGCCCAATATTCCTCTCGATATTTGCCTACAGTACAATCGACGTGTTTAACGTTTTGTTCAAATCTACGTAAATTAGATCAACACATCGGGAATTGTGAAGAGTAAAACTAAATAATTAAAGATTTCCGTAACAAGTATAACCTAGTCGAGTGTCAGATTCACTCGGTTGGGACAACGCATTGAAAATTTTGCCCTATTACTGAAGATACGTTTCCTGTCAGTTATAACAGTCAGAATGCATCAAAAATTTACTGTCCATGACTGCCGCGAGAATATGACGGGAATTTTTGTTGATATCGTTAACTAAGCTACTCAAAGCGACCTGTATTTTTCTCGGCATCCTTACCTGCTCATTTCTTTAGGCTTGGCCTTCAGGATACTCTTCAGGCTGTCATTTCTGGCTAGGATGCGCTGCACAATAAATTCAGCAGCAAACATTTCTTGGATAGATTTGTGATGGAAAGTGTAGGTGGTTTTTCCGGCTCCAGAAAGAGGTCTGTTTACTTTCAGCACCACCGAGAGGATAATTTCAGAGCTACATTCTACCGTGCTTTTCAGTATTTGAATGCACTTTCGTTTAACCTGAAGCAGTTCTTTTTCTGAGAAAGTTACAGTGTTTTCACGAATAAATTCCAACGCTGCTTTACCAATGACAACAAACAGATCATCCAACATGACTTCGCATTCAAGATGAGTCACATCAGCAAGCTTCCTGGTGACAAGTTTCTTATACAAGCGCAGAATATCATTCGCCACGTCCCCGGGCTTTTCCCACGACGAGATTGTCTCAGGCATGTGCTTATGCATGTCGCAGAAAAGAATCAAGTTGATGGGTTCGGTGAACAGAATTCGGACATCGTTATTCAGCGTTTTGAAGCTTTCTGTCATCTCGCCTTTTTTGATGCCTAAACTCTTCTCATACCTTGCCAAAAATTCTAGCTGCTCATTCAGCTCAGTGAGCGGCTTGATCTCGAATTCAGTAGAAATGACATCGTTAGTAGCAAGAAGCATTTCCAGTTTCTCCTTCGCACTGTGTGGACGAGTCGTGATCAGCACCCGACAGTTGCTGCTTGACGTCTTCTTGATGATTTCTTCCACTACGTTGGTTGAAACTTTGTTTACTTCATCGTACCCATCGATGATAAATAGGGCGTCTAGACGTAAAAGGGCATCAAGGACGTTTCGTTTACCCTCTAATTCCCTACACAGTTCCTTAAAGTGCTGCTTGATGACGTCAGCCAGTGTTTCAGTGGTACGATCCCTGCACTCGAACAGAATGAGCTGGTTAAATTGTCGCAAGTAATCAGCATTTCCTTCTTGTAGTTCGAAAAACTGAAGCACGATGTTTTTTAGCAGAGTAGTCTTACCGGCACCAGCAACTCCGGATACTATTATTGCCTTCTCAGGAGCCTTGAAAATTTCGGTGTACGGAAGAACTTGACCGTTAGGGCCTTCTCTCACCATCACGTCGAGAGCATGAAATACTTCCAGACGCTGCACAATGCTGTTAAGTAGCGGGAGGGTCTCTTTGGACAGTTTGGTTTTCCAGAGGTTCTTAACGGCCAGTTTTCCTGACATAGCCAATCTTGTACACCAATAGTAAATGCTCTTTTTGTCAGTAGTCTGGAGGCTTTCAAAGTCATCATGTAAATTTTTTTTCTGATCTTCAACTTCGGACTGTGGCAGTGAATAGACCCTTTCGGCTTCTTCAATTAACTCTGACAGGGCAGTCTTCAATTCACTGAATTTTTCATTATTCAATGTTACTTCGAACTCGTGCATGATTTCGTTTCGCAAATTCTTGACCTTGCGCAACTTGTCGAACAGTTTATCAACGTCCCTCGGAAGGCCATTCATACCTAAGCGAGACAGTTTTTCAAGTGGACACTTTGTATCTCCACCAGGAAGCTCCTCATTATTGTTAGGTTGTCCACCACCACTCATACTCGATGTAGCGGTTGCCAGGTCACCTTCACTTTTATTTTCTGAATCGGCAAGTGCTACGCTCCGCCAGCATTCATCATGTAACCTAGAAAGTTTCTCCAGCAGAGCGTACAACCCAGTGATGTCTAAATCATCAGGGTGGCTCAAATCTTCCGCGATTGTTCCGCCATGACGTTTCCATTCCGTTTTACTGAATTCCTTGCCCTTTAGGCGTTCCATGTATTTTTTGTAGCTTTCGTCGCTCTTTTTGTCGACACATTCTTTGCTGACAACGAATCGGATAACCTTGGGGGCCACGTACAGCACACCAGCAACATTGCGATAAATCGCGTAGATTTCATCAGCAATATGTACTGCAGCAGGCCTGGAGCTGGTCTGCTCTGACTGGCCGGCCATTACGCAGGATCTGTTGAGTTGAATAATATACGTTTAAAAATTACTTTTTAAGGACAACACTTCTAAAGAATCCAGTGTTTCCAATGGTACACATGTACAATGAATTCCTAATTTTTATTTTCGAATATTAAAAAAAATTCACATTTCTTAATATATAAAAACATTAAATTTATTCTGTGAATCAATTCATACATTGTCTTCGATTTTACGCAAGTCTGCAAAATTTCAGATCGATTAGACATGTAGAAGTGTGTTAAATATCGATTATAAGATTTGTAGCAGACGAAATTATATTTTTTTTAATATTGAAATTTTTTTATCATTTTTAAAATAATTTATTTTGTCAATTGATTCATGCATTGTCTCCAAATTTACGAAAGTTTGCACAAATTTCAGATCGATTGGAGAGGTACACACACTGAAACAAATCGGTGCGTTAGTTGCAGTCATCTCAACTGGCTATAAAACACTCAATGTAGCTAATCGAATCATTCCGAAACGTTCGTTCGCCGTTTTCTCAACATTTCTCTCTAATTTTCGTTCAGCCATTGACAGCTACTGCCGCTAGGCGGATGACGTCATAGCTACCTTATCAAAATAATTGAAGAATCTTGATAGCACAAGGTTGTCGGCACTTGTCGCTACCTTTATTTACTTCAAGCCGTGTTTCTGAGCCAAGCACTTGATACAACTGAGATAAAGTTGCCGCTTTAAGAAGGACCATTATTAGAATTTGACGAGCTGAAGTAAAAAGCTGACCATAAAGATTTGCTATATAGGCATGAAAAATCTATGTCGAAAGTTGTCGGTATATCATGTGGAATTGAACGCTGTTTCAAACAAATTTAAAATTTTGGAATTGAGTAGATTATATAGACTGCGTAAAATTAGGAGATGCGAAATTGCGAAAAATTTTGCGTTTATTAAAATTATAATTCATGATTAAATTTTATCCCAATTAACACTACTAGATTAGTGAACAATAAATATCGCTTCAAGTTATTGTCTTATTGTGTTTGTTCCAATACTCATTGGAAATATTGGAATGAAACTTCAATGAAATCAAACTTCAATGATATGTTGAATTGGATCTTTCTTGAAAGTATACCTGGAGCGGTCAACACTGAGCCACCATTGAGAGTAACGATAATCCCTCTCGATCCTGCTATGTTCACCACACTTACGGCGGGCTCAACATGAATGGGAGAATAAAGGTAAAACGTACATTATGCAACAAGAAAGATTTATATCATGTGAGACTCAAGTTCGTACATGTTGTATACTGTTGTTGATGTTCAGCACACAAACTTGGACTATCTTCTAGATCAGTGGTTCCCAAAGTGGGCGATATCGCCCCCTTGTGGGCGATACGAAGATCTGGGGGGGCGATGAGGAAGAATGGGGCAGTTGGGGGGCGATAGGGGGGCGATGGTCCGAAGTCAGAAGTTCGAACGTTTGTTTGACGATTAGTACACAACACGTGCAGCAAACGGCTCCAGCGATGGGTATTTCCACCCAGATCTGGGTTTTTGTTGAAGCTCTTTTGGGTTTCTACCACAAATTTTTGAAAATATTCAAAGTCTGGGTAATTTTTTCATCAATCACTACTCTAAATAGAATACTTAAGAAATATCACTTTCATACGGTAGAGTTAAGTGCGCCTGATACGAAATTACACACACCGAAGGAAGAATAATGTGTTAAAATGTTAACGAGAGAATCAAACGCGTATCAAACGAGTATAAACCGATTTATTTACGTTCGCTGCGCCACTGAGCGATGAGCCTCAGTTCAATGTTGTCTCAGTGATGCGGCGTGCATACACGTTCGTAACTAAGATACGTTCGTAACTTGCTTTTTAAACCTTTAATTATGTCATTTTTGTCTTTAATTAGGCCTATTTATTGAATGCGATGAAATACTGTTTTTTACATGGCTTTATCTTTTGGTTCCAGAATACAGTAGCTATGGCCTTGGAAGACCAAACAAAAAAGAAGTGTAGGCAATATAGTGTGGAATATCTGAGATATGGATTTGTTACAGCACCACACAACCAACAGCAACCAATGTGTCTACTGTGTGATAAAGTGTTTTCAAATGAAACTATGAAACCTTCGAGACCTTGGGAACATTTGAAGAGAATGCACTCGGATAAAGCAGGCAAAAACTTGGCATATTTTCAGTCACTCCGAGACAACGTTCTGAAGCAGAAAACCATTGGAAATATGTTTGCCAGCAGTTTTCAACAAAATACTGACGGTTTACGCGCATCATACAACATCTCTTTGATGATTGCTAGAGCTGGTAAGCCTCACTCAATTGGAGAAGAGCTTATTGAGCCTTATTCTACCAGCAGTGAGAGAGGTTCTACACACAGTTCTACACAAGTCACCTGACCAAATTATAAAAGCTATTCCTCTCAGTGATAACTCCGTTCAGAGAAGAATAGATGAAATGGCTGAAAATATTGAAGAAACTTTGTGTAACATGCTTAAGACAACGGAATTTAGTTTACAGTTAGATGAGTCCACTCTGCCAGGCAATGAAGCTCTGCTTCTTGCTTATGTACGTTTCGTTAGAGATGAAAGCTTGGTTCAGGAGCTGTTATTTGCGAGACAGCTTGAAACAGACACAAAAGGGGAGTCAGTATTTCGTGTCGTTGATGATTTCTTCAAAGATAAAGACATCCCACTTTCTAACATTCTTGCTTGTGCAACAGATGGGGCACCATCAATGGTAGGTCGTCATCGTGGCTTCATTAGTTTCTTGAAAAAAGCTGTACCTGGAGTACTAAAAGTGCACTGTGTAATCCACAGGCAGCATCTGGTCGCAAAAAGGCTGAGTGGTAGACTTCACAAATCAATGAGTACTGTTATCACAGCAATAAATAAAATCAAGGTACATGCCCTCAATTCCCGACTGTTCCGACAGCTGTGCACTGAAAATGATGAAGAGTTTGAACGTTTAGTGTTGCACACAGAAGTTAGATGGCTGTCAAAGGGAAACTGCCTGAGACGTTTCTATTCACTGTTTGACACGGTTGTTGAATTCTTCCAAGACTCAAATCCTGTTCTATGTGATGAACTAAGAAACATGAAGCATGACATTGCTTATATGGCAGATATATTCACAAAGTTCAATGAAGTTAATTTGCAGCTGCAAGGAAATGAGGCTAATCTAATTAATGTCAAATCAGTTATCTCCACCTTCCTGGCCAAGTTACAGTTATTCAAACGAAACATAGCTCGCCATGCGCTCTGCCAGTTCCCAAGCCTCTCTGAATTGGATATGGAATGAAGCATACCAGACGATGACCTTCAAGTGTATTGTACACACCTGGATGAACTGCACAGAGACATGTCTGAGAGATTTGAGGACATTTTATTGCTTGAAATACCAGACTGGGTGATCAATCCATTCCTAAATGTCGACGGAGAAGAAACCGGACTGGCAGAGGAAGAACTAATTTCAATTCAAAATGACATTGAGCTAAGGCCAAAGTTCAAAAAGTCATATCAAGATTTTTGGTTACAAAAAAAAATCTCGGACTGCTATCAAGTGCTGTGGAACAGGGTCAAAATGTACTTTATTGCCTTCCCAACATCATATTTAGTAGAACGGGGCTTCAGTGCAGTCGCCTTGCTTCTTTCCAAGCAAAGAAACCGACTGAAGATTACTGACCGCGGAGATCTACGACTTCTACTTAGTGAGCTCCAGCCTGATGTCGAGAAGCTCATGTCACTGCACCAAGCACGTCCATCACATTAATTTAAGTGTGAACCAATGAAGGTTACTGGTGGAATATTTATCTACCATTCTATATTGATAAAATAATTAAAACTGCTAAAAAATATATTGCATTACTAAATTGGGTTTTATTTGTTAAATGCACATTTGTGTTTAACCTTCCTCTTTTCAAGTTGCAGCATACCAAATATCAAGAAAGAGGCGTTTGTTCTTATATGTGTCTGTGGGGGGGCGCTAGGAATTTAACTGAGGAGCCAAGGGGGCGCTGGCCTGCAAAAGTTTGGGAACCACTGTTCTAGATTATGTCAAGGTAAAATGATGCGAGTGGGACAATTTCACCGCATCTAGATTGCACACAAAGAATGTAATATAAGACTTCACTGTGCATAACTTGCAAGCTTTTGATCAAAACGTAAATGCAGAGTTAAATAGAACTCCAGGATAAGATTGCAACAGATAACTGCACCGCCTGAGCTTCTACCTCAACCATTTGCTGCCCCATGTTTCGAGGTATTGACTTACGACCTTGGTAGGGGTGACTAAATTCACTAAATTAAAAAACATTACTGTCGATAAAATTCTAATTACTTCCATCTAATTACTTCGTAATCACCGGCATGTGGAACAACCTCCCCGATCACATCGTTGGCGCTCGGTGCAAACGCGTTCATGAACAAACTAGATAAAGCTATGGAGAAGTATATGTTCAGACTTGAAATGCCTAGCACCATATCGAACCCGGTCGAAGTCTAGTAGCTATTTCAAAGTAGTAGGGTATATACAATACTAAATGGGAGTGTAAAAGCTAAAGAAAGTATAGGGGTAAATGCAATAGCATGTAGGGAGATAAATACAATAGTAAGTTGGAGAGTAAATACAATAGTAAGTAGGAGGATAAATACAATAGTAAGTAAGAGGGTAAATACAATAGTAAGTAGGAGAGTAAATATAACAGTAATTAGGAGAGTAAATACAACAGTAGGTAGGAAGGTAAATACATCTGTATGTAAGAGGATAAATACAAAAGTTAGTAGTAGGGTAATTACAATAATAATTAGTAGGGTAAATACAACAGTAAGTAGGAGTGTAAGTATATCAGTGAGTAGGAGGGTAAATATAATAGTAATTAGGAGGGCAAATACAATAGTGAGTAGGAGGGCAAATACAATAGTGAGTAGGAGAGTAAATACAATAGTAAGCAGGAGGGCAGATGCAATAGTAAGTAGAATTAAATTAAAACACGAGCGACTCTA